TTTTTAATAAATAAAATATTATATATTTTAAAATTAAATTTAATTAAATTTAATATATAAAATATATTATAATAATTTTATAATTTATTATATTTATAATATTATTTATTATTATAAATATTTATTTATATTAATATATTAAATTATTAATATATAATAAAATTAAATTAAATTAATTTAAATTTAATTTTAATATATTAAATTATATTTTATTTTAAAATACTTTTATTTATTTTATTAATATTAAATCTTTAATAATTTATTTTTATATTTTATAAATTATTTATTAAATAATAATTATAATATAATATATATAGAAATAATAAGCTATAGTAAATTAGTTACTATAAAGTTAGTAGATCTATATATATATATAAACTAAGTTTAGTTAATAAAGTCTAGCTAATCTAATTAAACGCTTTACTATCTAGCTAGGTAGATCTCTAACTATTATTAATTTATACTACTTTTACTACTTTTTATATATAAGTTAAGCTAATTAATACTAATTAATTATTAACTAACTTTTAATAATAAAGTAAATTATTTAAACTATTTAGATATTAAGTCCTCTTAAGGGATAAATTAGTAAGGTTACTTTACTATTATAATCCTTAAAGAGGACGAATTAACGATATTATTATTATCGTTATAGCCTAAAGAAGGTGAAGTTTAAGCTACTTAGGTACTATAAAAAGACAACCTTATGTGATAACTCAAGCCTATATAAGACTTTTAAGCCGACTACTCTCTCTCTAGCGGCAGAAAATAAGTAGGACCCCTTCGCTGGGTAAGTCTTGCAACTCTCTCATAACAACTCTCTCTCTCTCTCTATCGTAACCGATAATTCGAGCCTACCAACCAGACCCTCGAACTGGCGTTTAGCTGCGTGCCCGCCAACCCGTTTAGCTACCTGCCAGTCAACCTATTTACCTGCCCTACCTACCCTTACATCACCTAAGCAATCGATTAAGCAAGCGACTTTCATATGCTCACTTAACTTCTCTCTCTCTCTCTCTTTCTCTCTCTCTTGCAACACCTAAGCAGAAGACACTCTAGTAGTATAGCTGCCACAACCCTAAGTCTCTTAGGATAAAGTCGTCCATAGCTACTATAGGCGCACACTAATAGTACTCCTACCTATACTATAAAAAAAAGTTTAAATTAAAAAATAAAATAAAAAAATATATTAATAATATTTATAAGGAGAAATATATAGCTATTAAAACTAATAATAATAAAATTTAATGGTTTATTAATAACTTTAATTATTACTTTAATAAGAATTTTTAATACTTTTATAAAACTTTTAAAAATTAAAATAATTATTTTAAATAAGTTAAGTTAAAGCTTTTTAAAGATTTTTATAATAACCTTTATTCTAATAGTATTTATATTAAGCTAAGTATTAAACTACCTCTTTAAACCCTTTTTAACCTTATTTAAATACTTTAACTACCTATATAGCTAACTAAGTAGAAAATAAGATCTTTAATTAAAATAACACCCTTAATTAAGAAGATAAAGGACTAATAAAGTAAGTAATAGTTCGCTATAAAAGAAGAAACTATTAGAAGGGCTAACTAATCGACTAGCCGACTAGTTTAACGTTAATAGTTAATACTATTTAATAACGGCCTAATAAGTAATTAGTTAATTAGTAATTTAAAGTTAATTTTATTTATTAAAGTAATTTAAATTTAAGTAGATTAAATAATTTATAAAAATATTAATTTATAATATTTTTATAATATTTATATTAAATAAATTATAATTAAATATTTAATAATAATTTTAAGTAATGTAATAATTTAATTAGAAATTATTTTATTAATAAATAAAGTTTTTAATTAATTAAAAGAAAAATATTAAACTTTAATTTTAAAAATTAAAAGTTATTAATATAAAATAATAAGTTATAATAAATTAGTTATTATAAGGCTAATAAGTTTATATATATATATATAAATTAAGTTTAATTAGTAAGGTTTAACTAACTTAATTAAATATTTTATTATTTAATTAAATAAACCTTTAACTATTATTAATTTATATTATTTTTACTACTTTTATATATAAATTAAATTAATTAATAATAATAATAATTACTTTTAATAATAATTTTTATATTAATTACTTATAATATATATATATTATTTTAACTTTTTAAATATAAAGTTAAAAGATTTATAATTATATTTTTAATTAATTTTTTTAATTATTTTATTATATTATAATTTAATTTAACTCTATTTAAACTTTTCTTATATTTATTTAATATTTCTTTGAAAATAAATTAAATTAAATTTTAAAGTTTTTATAAATTTTAATTTATTTTAAATTAAACTTATAATTCTTTAATTTTTAAAATATATTAATTATTTTAAATAATAATAATTTTTAAAATAAAGATTTATTTTAAATAATTATAAATTTAATTATTAATAATTATTTTTTATAATAAAGTTATTAAAATTATAAATTTAAATAAAGTAAAATTAAAACTTTTAAAAATAATAGCTTTTATTTTTATTTATTTTAATTAATTTATATTTATTTAAATTATATAATAATTTTATATATAATATTTAATAATATTAAAATTAATTTATAATTTATAATAATTTTAACTTTTAATAAACTAATAGTATTAATTTAAATAAATTAAATATAATTTAATATATTAATATAAAAATGTTTTTAATAATAAATAATATAATAAATATAATAAATTATAAAGTTATTATAAAAGTTTTATATAATAAATTTAATTAAATTAATCTTTAAAAATATATTATATTTTACTTTTTAAAACTTTAATTATTTATTTTTAATTTATAAATAAAATTAAAAATATAAATAATTTATATAAAATATTATATAATTTAAATAAATTAATTAAAATAAATATATAAAATTATTATTTTTAAAAGTTTTAATTTTATTTATATAAATATTTATTTATTAACTTTATAAATAAAATAATTTAAAAATAATTATATTTTATTATTTAAGTTTATAATTTTAATAATTTAAAAATAAAAAATTATTAATAATTAAATTTAATATTATATAAAAATAAATTTTAATTTTTAAAAATTTAAAGATTATAAATTTAATTTTATATAAATTAAAATTTATAAGACTTTTATATTTAAATTTAAAATATTTAAATATTTAATTTTATTAAAAATATTAAATATATTTAAAAATTAAATAAAATAAAAATTTAATTAAATAATAATATAATATAATATTTAAATAAATATTAATTAATAAATTATAATTATAAGTTTTTAATTTTATATTAAAAGTTTTATATTTTATATATTATAATATATTATATTTTATATATTTTATATATTTTATATATTTTATATATTTTATATATTTTATATATTTTATATATTTTATATATTTTATATATTTTATATATTTTATATATTTTATATATTTTATATATTTTATATATTATATATTTTATATATTTTATATATTTTATCTATTTTATCTATTTTATATATTTTATATATTTTATATATTTTATATATTTTATATATTTTATATATTTTATATATTTTATATATTTTATATATTTTATATATTTTATATATTTTATATATTTTATATATTTTATATATTTTATATATTTTATATATTTTATATATTTTATATATTTTATTTTTAATTTAATTTTATTTAATAATATAAATAATATAATTAAATTCTTATTAACTTTAATTTCAACGACTCTCTGATATAGAACCTAGTGATCAGCGATCGCCCGGAAGACCTCGATGTTGCGCGGGTTTGCGGACAAGAAGACACGGTCTATTTGCAGCGGTGCGATGGCACACAGAGCCTTGCAAGTCAGCCGGAGTTTCTTAATGTCGCGGTTTGGTAAGTAGGACGGGATGGTCGACGATATTTCGGGCGGCAGTTGCAAAAGCCTGCTGGGAATAGGAGCCATGATGTTACGACCATGAAGATCGAGCGCAGTCAGGTTCCTGGTCGCGACCTGCGATGGCGATTGTGATAGTTTTTGACGATGATTACAGTCTGGGTACCCTTAGATGGAGGAGAGGGGCCGAAATTACGGGGTGTGATGGCATTGTGTACTAAATGTTAGTCAGGTGTTAGTTGGTTGTTGGTTGATTTTCACCTACCAAGCTTTTTACAACAGGGGTTTAGCTGGTTTCACTTCTATTCTGTATACGTCTGAGGACATACATGGCCCCTTCATATAGTGGTAAACGCTCAAGAATGTCTATTCTAAGTGATGGCAAACTGGTAATCCATTGATTGTGGCTCTTAAATACCCTGATCAATCCATAACTATTTGGTTGGTCTTGGGGCTCAACGGTTGCCGGGGACCAGGGGTGTTACAGACTGATTTCATTTCAACAGCCCTGATCTACCAGAATTCGAGCGCCATGAATCAGCCTTGTGATACGGAAGTAGTTTATACTCGAGAATCTCTGCGTAGAATGAACATTTCGCCCTTCCAGCCACTTCTCGTTCCTTGTTGCCCAAACACACACGAATTCGAGCGAGAGACTTGCTTCTGTAGTTTCAGGCTTCTACTTTGCTCGGAGCAATAACATTATGTCAAGTAAGCTTAGTAACAAAGGATTCGTTGGAGCCATCACAAACATGGCTTTGTTGAGCTATAGCCCAGGTGAGCCTACGCTGTAGACTTCAATGTTAAGTACAGTTCTGCCTGGCCACACCAGTCACATTCTGTTTGAGTGCCATGTTGTCACGGTTTCCACTGACCGTTTTTCCTCACTGACTATTATTCTACGCCCTATTTAAAGGCCGCGGATTTGCCAGCCGCCCAAAGTCTCTTACCTCTTCTTCCTTCCGCAGCTTCAGAACGACAACTTCGACCTGCCTGCTAGCACTTGGACACAAGCTATCACTTACAAACACTGCTCCAGTATCGTTGCCTGTTTGTGCCGATTCAGGGAGAGCAAGATAACCCCTGAGGAGTAATTCTCATGTCGAAGCAGGTTGAGAGGTTCGAGAGCTGGGGCTATTGGATCAATCGAGATTCTATTGGATACCTCAGTCACAGGTACACCGGCTTCGCCAGGTGGACGGATATTCATCACAGTGGAACTGGCAAAGATCCCGCTGTTCCCATCAACACCTTCGGTGTCAAAGATGGGCATACAAACATGCTATTGATCGCACGGGCTTACAACAATTCGCCAGATCATGACCCGCGGCCAAGGTCTCATAAGCTTACCCTCAGAGCTCAAATCGTGTCATACTGGACCTCGGTGGAGCGACGTTCTCTCAGCGAGCTAAGCCGTATCGTCTACGCGAACGTGAATGAGCAGACCTTGAAGGACCTCATCAAGGACGTCTACGAGATCATGGGCGCTCCTATGGATAAAGGCCTCTTGATCACTCGGGATCACCCTCCTTTTGACACCCTACTTACTCGAACTCCTTTCGGTGGAGGCGTGCAGAAAATGCTTCATGAATACGCCGATGCCTTCGGAATTAAAGATATAAAGAGCTTTTATTTTCACCTCAACAACGGTATTAATAATTTCAACTTCATCATTGATCTGGCCTGATCACTGACGATATCTTGAGCCATCGGTATCAAGGCTACTGGAGTCAGTGATGGAATTGGCGAGCGTTTGGTAAAGCCATGCGGGATCCATAATGGCTTTGACCTTTTTCTCAAATCATTGTGTCTTCACGAATACCACAAAGACTTTGTCAAGCGATTTGAATTACAGCCTCAGGATACACCAGGAGCATTACAGCTGGCATTATAACTAGGTAGCCGAGCAGAGGCTTTCTCAATACGAATGCCAACGAAATTGAGGGAAGCTATTGAGCGAACGATTTCAACTGTTGTTGATCCATCCAAGTCGTGTTTTGCCAGGAGAGGAAGGAGTACCCCAACATCCCAGCTCGACTGTGGGAATTCAAAATCAAGTCTCATGAATTCAATTGGGTGTGCCGCATAAATAATTCCAGTATGAATTGGGAGAAAGAAAATATGCTTTTCTAGCCTCTGGACTTGCTTGCCCTAGGATACGCTGGGACTGGTATTCTCAATGCATGGCAAGAAAAACATGCTATCGTTGTGTCTCTACCCAAGATCCTTTTTGAGAACAGGGTGAGATCACCAGAGTCGGGGACAAAATGTTGTCGAAATACACAAAACATGACTGTACCAAGTCACAGGCTTCCTGTTCGAAATCATTTCTCGCCCTCCGCCATTGCGTCCGTTTGGACTTTGTCATAACATTGGTATCAGTTCGCAATACAGACGTCGTAATACGCTATTCTTTTACCACATCCATGTCCGAATGGAAATGAAAACCATCATCAAAACGAATCTCAGGCTGTGACCTGCAGGCCAACATCTATCTTTCTAAACGTAGAAAACAGGCGCACTCGATGCTAAGGGATGTCGTCACGCAAGAAATTGTACTACAAGTGTCTGCCCTACAGGAGGTGAAGACATTAGACTCTGTTCCCCAATCCACTTTGCCTCAGAGCTGTTCCCAGGGAGGCCATTGCATAACACATTTCCCTATGACAATTTGTCCTGGAGTAGGCTATCCTATGGGGGTCTGTCCTATAGTAAGCCGCCCTATGTCAGTTCATG